GTAACACTTTAGACAGCGATTTCTAAAGCCCCCCTTTAGGCAGCGGTTTCACTTTAGACAACGCTTTTTGGCAACGCTTTAGACAATGTTTTTCCTTCAAAGCGTTGTCTATTCCCTAATTTAAGCAGCGCTTTTTATTTGAAGCGCTGTCTAATGTCCACAAAATTTTTTATATATAAAACTTTATAAAAGTGATGCCTGATTTATACAATAAAAATTTTGACCAGATTTTCACCATATTTTTGCACTAGGTTTTCACCACATTTTGCACCAGGTTTTTACCATATTTTGCACCAGATTTGGTAGCTTCAATTGAATATATATGCATCAAATTTGAATATACAAAAATATACATATATATATATATATATATATATATATATATATATATATATATATATATATATATATATATATATATATATATATATATATATATATATATATATATATATATATATATATATATATATATATATATATATATATATATATATATATATATATATATATATATATATATATATATATATATATATATATATATATATATATATATATATATATATATATATATATATATATATAAATGATGATATTTAATCTACATATTAAAAGTCAACAACAAATATTTATAAATTGATATTTATACTATGATAAAACAAATATTTAATCTATATATTTATAAATTCTAAAAATTATAAATTGATGTTTAATCTACATATTACTATCTTTGACAATTTCTAAAAAACAACAACAAATAACTTGTTAGCTCCATCTTCTACATCTGCACCTATAACCTAAAACAAAACCAAAAGATCGAAATTCATACTATGATAAAACAAACCTTTATTCCAATTTATACTTAAAACTCAAAAGTTGTACTCAAAATTCTCATCAATGAAAGAAAGATTATATACCTTATAAAATTCTCAACTCCATAATGAATTGACACCATTCCTCCATAAGTTCATCCAATTGATCTTTTGAGTAATGAGCACAATTGAATTCGTCAAAGTACTACATAGTAAAATAACATAGTATGTGATTTAGTTAAAACACTATGCCATTTTTTGAGAAATATTAAAATAATTCCTACGTTAGAAATTCATACCGTGGATGGAATCTCTATTCGGTCCAAAAGAAGCGTTTCTTTCATAAACCTCAACATGAAATAACCGCAATCTATACCATTACATTGACAAGGACACTACACATGAAAAGAAAATACAGATATATATCAAGATATACCCCTTAACTTGTTTTATCAAGCATCATCACTAATATAATCAAAATTGTGAAAATATACCTGCACTCTGATTCACGTAATGTTGTTGGCTCTACTCTTTGGTACTTGAATACCTTTTTGTGATCGAAAAGCTTGTAGAACGCTATAATAAAATATAAACGACTATTTAGAATAATCTCAAATAGATAAATAAATATATACACGAATATTTAGAATAATCTCACTTACATATCAACCGTCTTCTTCAAATCTGGGTATGTTGTCCAATCATTGTATAACGAATCCAGATAGTATATAATCTCTCTAATAGGATTAATCACAAGCAACAACCTATGTCCACTGTAAAATTAAACAAATGTTTGATGGAAAATTTCTACACAACGTCCAAAAATCAAAATATTATAATATATGAAGTTAAGATGAAAATCTAACCCGTTGCCATTATTATATGGTAAAAAGAACAATTTTTATGTATCTTTTCTGACCATAAATAAACCGAGTACATATGATATGACATCATCTGATTTTGTTACAATTAACCCTGCGTTGACGGTGTTGGGAGCTAAGAAAGCGAATCTTTCTTCCACTCCACGCGGGCGCATCACTTTGTCATACAAAAAACTTAAATAAAAACATCATTAAAATTAGACTGAATTCATTGAAATGAATAAATAAATTGTTCATTTAATTAAACAAAGTCGATCGGAGTATACCTGATGTATGTATCGATAACACTGAGGCCTAAAGTAGAATATTGTAAAACTTGATCAATATCTTCTCTACCAATTGCTTCCATGTATTCATAACCAAAAATGTCTTTCTTCATAGGTATAAGACGAGTACCACCAATTAGAATATATGTTATTCCTATATATGTCTGAAGGCACGACCTATACTGAGAAGTAGGTTTTTTGCTAGCTGCGATCTTCTTAACCCTACTTACTTGCTCAATCTCTTTAGCATGCATATAAATATCATTTAATTAGCTATGTGAATTATAATATCATTCTATGCATAAATATCATATAATTGTGTTATAAGATCATTATATGCATAAATATCATATAATTGTGTTATACCTCTTTTTTTAATGCAACTGACTCGGTTTTCTTCTTAATCCCCTTATCTTTTGATTTGGATTTTGTGGGAGTCTAACATTACCATGAAAAAAATGTACGTTAAATGGTCGTAAAAAATTTGAATACTCAAAGGTTTATAATGGTTTAAAACATACCTCCCCATCTATGCAAATGAGGTTTGACGGCCATGCAACATACGATCCTATTACCTCTCCCACCAATGTTGCATTTGAAATATCGTCAGGCAAAGGTAATGGCGTATCCCTCTCTAAAGCAATATCAATTGATACTTTCATAAATCCACCAGGGAGCAGTTTATGGTGAAGTAGTTATCCCAAGGTGTTATGCACTTTTCCCTTGCCAACCATGCGATAAGTCGGTGACAATAAATATAGCTGACAAGGTGAAATGCCCTAAATCAATAATAAATGTGAAATTGTTAATGTGTATATATGTGAATTAAAAAAATTGTGCTAATTCATAATAACATATATTACCTCTGGAATTTTCTGTTGGAAATCATAATTGATACTATCTTTGTCACTAGTATCCTTGAACCATGGACCTTACTTTTCTAACATGTATTTTTCTTTGTCCTATTCCAGCACTTTAGCTTTTAATTTTTCTAACTCTTCCATCACTTCTTTATTGCTATGACCTTTCCTCTTTTGATGGTTACCCAATGGTGTTTGAGTCACTCTGAATCCCTTACCCCTCACACAACCGGTATACTCAAACATTTAATACCCAACTAAGTATGCTCCTGCAATCATGGTCTTTAGCTTGAGTTAAAGATTGAGATAGACTCTCCTGAAATTCATGTGCATAGCGAAATAAATTAGTGGTGATTAAACTCATAATTTCTTTATTTTAATAAGCTCGATATTTAATTAAAGGAATATTGATATACTTACACATTGCTCATAAATTTGTCGTACATCTTCCTTAACAACTCCATCTTACCCACTCGGGCATCCTTCCACAGAACATGTTCCGGAAGACATGTTTCTTGACTTTTCTCGTCTTCTAAACACACATTAAGAAAAATAATAAAATCAATAATAACACATGATGAACAATTATATCACAGCATTTATATATACTTACCAATCTTTGTTGTAAGCATGGATATCCCATACGTCCTTTTCTGTATGGGTACAGAGGACTTGATGCTCGGTTGCGATTCACGCCACTCACATTTTGAAAATCTGAGGTTCTTCTTTTTTCTTTGAAGGTTGCCCATTCTTCAAGCGAAATCAAGCCTGCATACGCCTATGGATGCTCCACGTCGATTAATTTGTTATCGACATCCCTAAGAAACTTGTTTGTCAAAAAAGATCAAAACCTTCTTAGTCTTTTTCCGGCCAATTGAAGACAATATGATTTTCGATCATCATCAATATTAAAAGACCTCTACAAAAAATCACAATATAAAAAGCGTTAGTAATTTAAAGACATAAGCGGCAAAAAAATGAAAGACATCACATATGGCACCTGTATTTCAGTCCATAATTTTTCTTTAACGGGTTTCAACTCACGCCTTCTTCAATCATCACAAGTGATTGAAACTTCTCTCCTTACAATGGAACCAATGTAACTTGTTAACATTGAACCGTTAGACACAATTAGTTGTTTGTCTTCATTCTAATGTACGTCAAATTTGATATCTTTATCTCTTGCACGAATGATTGACTTCATAATTGTTATTCCTCGTCTAATATCATTCTCCACATCACGAGCTGATTCTTTTCTATCATTATTAAAAGTCATTTGACCTGTAATATTAAAGAGCATAAACACCATATAAAATTCAAGTAACATAAACACAATATAAAAACATAAACACAGTATGAATTACTAGTACCTATTTCACTAACATCTCTTTCGTTTCCATCATTATTAGAAGCGGGGTGTGATTTTTCCTCATTGGTAGCCATTTGACTTGTAATATTAAAGAAAAAATATAAACACCATATAAAATTCAAGTAGCATTGAATTAATAAACACAATATAAAAACATAAACACCATATAAAGTTCAAGTAACATTGAATTAATAAACACAATATAAAAACATAAACACAATATGAATTACTAGTATCTTTTTCATTAATATCTCTTTCGTTTTTTGGTTGGAATATGAATTACTTACCTCTTAATAACTCGGACAGACAGACAAATGTTTTAGGTTTTAAACGATGATTCGGTGAAAAGTTTTGGACGATTGTTGTAGTTTTAGTTTTTGGTTAAGTTAGTTTATGGCTCTAGTGAGAAGGAGGATATTGACCAATTACAGGAACAAACAAGATCGAACCCTAGTCAAACATTTGTGCAAGAGGCCCACCCTTCCGGTGTAGATAAATACTATGAATTATCCCAATCATATTATAAATCTAGGTGTGCATGAATCTAGAGATACATCCATTTAGAAACAAAAATATATTAAATGTCATAAAAGCTTCGATTTTATATATCTACATGGATGGAATGAAAATAAAGACAAATATTTCCGTTGGAAAGAGTGCCAGTTGGAAGATAAAGACACATGCATCTAACCGTACGTATATCGGATTTGGTCTCTATATAAACAACACATTATTCAGAAAACGAAAATCACAACCATCAACTTTTCTTCTTTTTCTCTATCAATTTTCATCTTATTCTTGTCAAAAACATGACTAGAAAAAAGGTGAAACTTGCTTTCATTGAGAATAATACCGCAAGGAAATCTGCGTACAACAAAAGGAAAAAGAGTTTAGTGAAGAAGGTTGATGAACTAACAGCCCTTTGCGGTATCGATGCTTGCGCTATAATTTATGGCCCGTACGATGCTCAACCTGAGATCTGGCCATCTCCGTCCGGAGTCCAAGAGGTGCTTTCGAAATTCATGACTGTGCCTGAGGTTGAACAAAGCAGAAAGATGATGAATCAAGAGAGTTTTCTGAAACAAAGGATTTCGAAGAGTGAAAAGCAACTTCAAAAACAACGGAGAGACAACAGAGAGAAAGAGACAACCATGCACATGTTTCGGTGTCTCAATGCTGGAAACATTGTGCAGAACAGTATGTCGGTAGGTGATTTGAATGATCTTTCTTGGATGATTGATCATAATTTGAGGGCTATTGGAAGAAGGATGGAATCAGATGATAGGGAAAATATTATTCACCAATCACCACCACCACCGCCACCACCAACCGCGCCTAACAATAATGAAATTGCAATGATGGGTCATGGCCATGCTGGGATGGCTATGAATAATAATGACCTGATTCAAAGCCAGATGTTTATGGACATGGGGATGAATGGCTATGAATAATACTGTGTTGAATGGTCTGTATGGACTTGATGCACATTTTTTATTATATGATGATTTTTATGTAGTATTGTTTGATTGAATAAAGAGTCTATTGTGTGTGCTTTACTGCTTTCAATACTTTTGCACTACCATTAGTCTTGAATATTAACAATTAAATTTATTTATAAAAAAAAATATTTATCTCATATTATGAAAACACGAATGAATGGGTTGTGAAAGTTGAGTGCAAGTTTTGAGAATGGTCTTTCATGAGTATTGGCTTATTGTGAAATGGAGAAAAGTAAGGATCCCTCAATTATAATCTCTAAGGGGGAGAGAAGTAAATATCATAGAAAAAATGAATTAATAACAGATAATCAATCAATAATGATTAGTTGTAACTTGGTCTTGAAAGAGGAAGTGTCTTTTAATTGATTTGAGACTGATTTAGGCTAGGAAATTTGTGAAATTCTAGAAATTTCACTGGTTGAAATAGATTCGGATGAAGATTTAAATCAATTTTAGTGTAGAATGGGAAATTCCTGATTTGTTGAATTGATTCAAGTGCCGGATTCATTAGATAGGCTGAATTTAATGAAAGAGAAACTTTGAACTCTTTTGACGTTGTGAATTGATTCAAGAAACTTTTTGAATTGATTTCATTTAATCCAATTTTTTCCAAAATATGTTTCTGAGGCTACTATCTGAATCATGAGTGGAATTTTTTTTTGGAATAATCATGTATTAAAATTTTTTCCGCAAATAATCATGTTTCGGAGAAAATTACGCAAATAACCATGTTTCAGAAAACCTCACAAGAGAGGAGTCAACCCAGTTGGCGCATCCACTCCCCTTCTTGCCCTAGACGCCATCCCACTTGGCGCCTCCTCTCTCTTTTAGCCAAGTGAGATGGCGCATGCACTTTAAAAGTGAGAGGATGCGCCATCTCACTTGGCTCATAGGGCAAAATGCTATTTTTATAAATAATTCGTCTGTTTCTCCGCCATTCCTCTCACTTTCTCGCACTGTTCTCTTATTTTTTACTCTGTTATTTACGTCATGACATCGCCCATGATTTTTACCAGAGATGATTACGTTATTTTCTCCGCCACAAAACCTCTGATGAAAATGAAATTCTGGCACATTCACTCCATGGAGCGTCTGAAGAGGGAGTTGATGCGATGGCTAGAGGGAGACATCGAGGGGGGGGGGGGACAAATTAGAAGGATCCAGCGAAGACGAACAACAACCTCACTTGCGACAGGAAGACCTAATTTTTGCTTGGAGGAAGTCAAAACAGACAACGACGTAATGTTGATGATTCATGGGTCAGATGAAATTATTTTAACGGTTGTAATTTCGTAGACTGTTTATCGTGTTTTATTTCTTGTTCGCGCAATGTTTATTGTAACAAATACTATTACCGAAAAACCCTAATGTTTACAAATTAATAAAGAAAATATTTTTTGTAATACAATTTTTATGTGGTTGAGCTAGTAGCCCGATTTGGACAATTTTTGCGATTGTGTCTGACCTGACGACATAAATCACACTTTCTTTCCAGCTTGTCAAGGGAGTCCATTTCGGTTGTGATGCGCTTACTTTTGGGACGACCCTTTTTATTCCTTCGCATTTGGTCATTGTGCCATACTATTTCGTCGTCGTATGCAGGCTAATAATCTGGTTTTGCTACCAAAGGGAAGCTGTTGTTGTAAACGTTGAGCAAGGTTTCAGATTTGTAAATGGGAGACAGAAGTTGTAGCGCGTCTTGATGAGTATAGGCATACGCGTCTTGAAACTTGCCACAATCGCACCAACGAGAAGATAGTATAACCCTATATTCTTGTCTTGGCAGGCCCTCGTTGTGGTCGATTGTCTCTTTGACAATGAAGTTGTGGCTGTGTCGGTCAAACCGTATAACCAGATGGGTGTTGGCTTTGACACTTTCTACCTTAATGTACTTCATGCAGCTTTCACTCCATAGTTGTCCAGCTTTCACTCGATGCAGCTTTCAGCAAATATATGATAAAAATAAAATATTTTTCAATTCCTTTAGGTATTGCGTGAGGGGTATGGATTACGGCAAGAATCCAAGATTCAATGCCGCTCTATACCGCAATCTATTGGATCACCTTGGCCCAGATGATGTACGTCGTACCTTTCAACTTTTCTACTTTTAAATTATTTATTTATTACGTTTTCATTAATCTGATTTAATTTTATCTGCAATTTATCTGGAGACCATATTTGGGTTTGGACCATGAACCAAACCCCGAGGATGCAGCAATTTGGAGCGCAAAGACTGCAATCATATGGTTCAATGTTGCGGAGATGCACCACACCGACCGTGTCAAGATGCAGTTTGGAATGCATCAAGAGATACCCAGCGATCCGACTTGTTTGTCCCCGTGGCATCTCAAAAGGGTCGACGTCAAATGGGGTCTTACCAACTGGAAAGACTTTGCTCCAGAATGGTGTAAGATGTGGCAGAGGCATCACCGACATGTCTTGCAATTCCCAGTTTTCCTCAACCATGGTAATATGCGACACACGGATCAATATTTATCTTGGTACTGATCGGTTAGTACCCATGAAATGCACGTGTCTCATCCAAGGTATTTGGTTGACCCACAAACACAATGGGCACAACCCTCATTTCCCCAACAATAAACCCAATACACATCAACCTCCCACCAACCCCCCCGACGAAACAGAACCACAAACACCCAACCACAGTCACCACCACAATACAATTACACCCACATGCCCCACAACCAACCACAATCACCACCTCAATACCAATACCCCCATATGCCTCACACCCAACCACAATTTCAATCACAATACCAATACACCCGCATACCCCACACACAATTTTAGTCTTCTGCATATCCCAATATAGGCCCCTCAACATCCAACCTTAGCCCTGATCTGGGATTGTCCAAAGATTATGAACCAACCGACCCAACTTACTATCAACCACAACATCACCAAAACACCTAACATCCTCAATACCAAACACCCCAAGATCCATTTCCTTTATACCCTCCGTACTCAGACAACCAGTGCTACAGACCAACCATGGAACCCCACCCATCACCAACACGACCAAACTTTGAGGGTATGGGCAACCAACTATACCAAAGAGGATCTTCTAGATATGGAGATTTGACCGATTTCATAGATCCGGAAAGCATTGACTTCACTGGGCCATCGACCCTGCCACAACAGGAAACACGACGAAACCCAGCACGGGAAAGGCGAGGACGAGGATGCAGAATCGTGGTTCATTACCGGGTTCCGGGTGACCACTGATTAATCTGTATTTTGTTTATGTAATTGTTAGGTGTGTAATCATATTTTGTAAATAAAAAGTCAATTGTTGATCCTATATCGAATACGTAACGCACCACATTTAAAATAAAAAACGCGAAAAATCGCCTCCCAATTGCACTAAGGCGTCATCTCACTTGGCTTAGGGCAAGGCTTTAACACCTAGGCGCCAAGTGAGATGGCGCCTCCCCTTTAAAATAAGGTGTAGGCGCCAAGTGGGATGGCTCCTCCCTTGAAAAGTTTTCTGAAACATGGTTATTTGTGTAATTTTCTCCGAAACATGGTTATTTGCGGAATTTTTTTTAATACTTAATTATTCTAAAAAAAAATTCTCATAAATGCTTTAACTTCACTTAAGGTTTATGATGGAGCCCTAGGGTTATATTAAATATATGAAGGAGTGCAGTTGCTATAAATCAAGTAAATAATCATCTTATGTTGGGAAATCTTTAGTGGTTAGTCATTAAGTAAATTAAACAAGCTAATGATAAATCAATGTATGAATAAAGAATAATGAAGGTGATAAAAAACTCAAGAAACAAAGATTTTATTGACCGATTAATTTTTGTAGAAGTCTTGAATAAAGTTCAAGTAAATAAAAAATGTTGAAAAATAACAAGATAAGATAAGAGAGATTAACATGCAATTTTTATTCCGATTCACCCCCTTAATTGGAGCTACGTTGGGTTTTCTCAATCCTAAAGATTTTTATTATAATCAAACTGATTACAAAGATCACTAATTATATCCTAACTCAACTAACATATATCTTAGATTGCTCAAACACAAAGAATTGATCCCAACTAAATATATTTCTCATCTCAAAGAATCAAATTAAAACATATAAATCAAAACATGAAACTACTAAAAATAATACAATTTATGACAAAACTTTTTATAAAAATTTCTTTTTCCTAGCACTTTTCTTAGATTTTTTTGTAGATTTTATTGTGGTTTCAATACAATTAGTAGTAGGAACAACATTATCAATATTGGCAATGATCTTGTCATTCAAATTTATTCTGGACATTAGCAACTTCATGATTTTCTTTTATGTGAGAGACATCTGGTTCAACATTATTTTTTGTTGGATGTTCATCCTCCAACATGTCCTCAAGATTGTCTATGACATCTGACAGAACACCTTTAGTGCTAATCTCAATAACATTGGCATTGTCATTGTCTTCTTGCCTTTCATTTTTACTAAGAACTACTTTGCTTGCCTCGAGTAGATCCATTTGAATATCTTGTTTAATCTCTTATTTAACTTCTCCACCTTTTTCATAATGCTTATCTTCTAACTCAATCTATTCTAGCTGAGGAATATCACCAATGTTGTTGTTGCCATCCTTGTTGCCATCATCCTGATTAGCTCCAAACTCTTCTTCTCTAGACTCTTCATATTCTAACGCATTATAATTCAATATGTTCTCAATATCAATGTCTATAGTATGAATATCCATCAACTTTTCTAAAACAACTTTGTCTTGAATAGGTTTTTCACTTAGAAACTTATCAATATTGTTCTCACTTGGAGGATTATCACATGCATTCATGGTTTTTAGATGATCCTCATACTAAATGACAGTTGAGATGAAGGGGATATAACAAGAATAAGAAAAATGATTTAAGTTACTATAATAAAGTTAATGTTATTCATAATATCAATATGGAGGTTGAGATTTTTGGATTAGTTGAAAATCTAAACGTGACATACTATGATATGATGATAAAATAGTGAAGAAAGCTGAAAATGTCATATTACAAATCCAAATATATGAAAAGCACCAATATATAAATAATAGTCCAATTAGTGGTTTAAAAGGATATGGGTGTGAACATGGTTTTATGGGTGATGTGGCAAAACATGATAGGATGTAGGGGACAAAAAATATTTTAAACGAATTTTAATTTATATATTTTTATTTGTATTTTTCCAATTCACAACTAAATAATTTTGCAACTATATTGGTGGTACACTTTAGCGCTAAAAAAATTGACAAACAATGGAATAACACTTTCTTTTGAGTAACTTTATCCATTATCTTCTTTTGTAAGAACTCATCAATAATTGCTTTTCAATTTTTTTTCCATAATCAGCTTCAATTTCTTTATGAACCAAATTAGTTTATTCTTCCTCAAGGTAAGTTCATGTTTCTATACTTCGCTCATTTTTAGTGACCAATTTTGATAAAATGTTTGAATATATAAATTGTTTCTTTTTAAAGCTTGTTATAGATTTGTTTTAGTAGTAAACAATGAAGGTTGGGTTGGAAATCCACCTAAATCTATGATGAATTTCTATCAACTTTGATGAATAAGATTGTTATCACCACACAATGACAATGAAAAGAAAATAAAATTAAAGAAGAAAAGAGATTTAAAGTTTCTGCAGAGTTTCTCTCTATCCATAAACTATAGAAAACTTTCTTATTCACTTGCAATTATAAATTTTGTGAATATTCAATGTGTTACAAAATAGGGATTACTCCCATTATTTATAGTTTTAGGATAGTTGTCTCACTAAGCCAAAAAGCGCAAAACTAGAAAAGTCTAAAATACATATTTTTGAATCTAGGTCTAAATTATGTGTAGTAATGTGCTTACAACACTTCGACAACAATACAACTCGACTCTCTTCGACTAAGCTAATTCGACACACCTTGTGTCGAGCAACATGCTGCTTCGACACAAGGAATTACAATTTCAACACACCATCTAATTTATTGTGTCTAAGTTTTCTATATTCATTATAGATCTTAGTCTTCGGCATACTTCGACCTGCACACCCTTCGTCATGATGTCTGCAATATGATTCTTAGTTCTGCAGTATTCCAAGTTCATCTTCCCATCTGCTACCTGCTCTCGAAGATAGTGAAACCTCATTTCGATGTTCTTGCTTCGATCATGTGCTATTGGGTTCTTCGTCAAATTGATAGCTGACATGCTGTCGATCTTTATGGTAATTGCTTTATGATCTTTCCCTGTGATTTTTTTGACCAAGTTTACCATCCATGTTGCTTAACATACACTAAGATAAGCAGTTATGTACTCGGCTTCACACAATGATAATGCCACTACTGGTTCCTTTCTCGAACTTCAAGCATCCCGTGCACCACCTAGCATAAACACATATCTTACTGTGGATTTTTTATCCTCAACATCACTACACCAACTTGAACCAGTGTACTTATCATACCCTAATTTTTCCACCTAAGATCCTCTATCATCTCATTATTATGCATCATCACACATTTGCGTTGGTTATCTCATTTAGTCTCGCCCTTATCTTTAAGTTTTCTCTCAAGGATCGCCAAGCTTCTTAATTGTGTATCTTGTATATGTGTTGCATATTTTACTGACCTCTAACCAAATACCAAATATATATGTTTTATTTTCTTGTATATTTGTGTTTTGTAGGTACCAAGCCAAAGCACCTAGCTAACAGAGTTTTCTGACATTTTTTTTGTGGAAATCAATTATCCCATTTGTAGAAATCGATTTACCTCACTATTTTTGCGCCATGATTTCTGTTTTTTCTGTGGAAATTGATTACCACATATGTGAAAATCGATTTCATGAGAAAAATTTTGAAAAAAAAAGACAATTTTCAATTTTTTAGTATTTGGCTCAATTTTCTTTTTTAGAGAATATTCTTGATTACTAAAGTAATTCTCCTTTCTCATCATATTTAAACTCCATCATACACCTTCATTTGATTACCTGTGCACCAGTTGATTTCATTTTGGCTTCAAAAATCAATTAACAAACCTAATTTTGGTTCCGAACCAAACTCCAAACCACCACTAATTTCAAGCCTAAACTCTATAAATAGAGCCTTCATTTCATTCAATTCTCAAGATTTTGATAGCCAAAATCACCTTGCTAAAAAATTCTCTCTACTCTCTCCATCCACCAAATTCACTCAAAGCTCCATTTTCATAAAAGTTAGTAAGCTTTTCATTGAAGCTTAATAATCTTTTAGTTAAACCTCCATCCAAACACTTTCTCTTCATTATTTCTCAACATCAAACCTTGGGAGATTGATTCTAGTTTAATTTGAAGCAAATTTTGAAGTAGTTTTTGATATTTTTCTTCATCTACCTTTGGTAAGTTAAATCTTCATCTTTTACAATGTGATCTCTTGTTGGTCTTTGTAGTTTGATTCTCTGAGCTAGTTTTTTTATTCCATTGGTTCTATTTTATCACAATTTGATGAATTTTCATGCTCAATTAAATCCAAAATATAAGGTGTTTGGTAAAAAGTTTGATCAAGAATTTTCCCTTTGAAATGTTGTTTTTGCTCCAGGAAATCGATTTCCACTTTTTAGGTAATTGATTTCATAAACTGTTTTTGCGCCAGATTTTTGAAAAATGAGCACAAGAAATCCATTACCCCTATAATGGAAATCGATTTCCTGAAGGTATAATGCACTTTTTTACTTTGTTTTGGGACTATTTTGGTTCCTTTTCTTTTTCCAACTCATCTCTTTTAATTGTTGCTTTGGATCACAATTTTAAATGTCCAATTTCTCTTCAAATTCAATGGACTTAGGATGTAGAAGAAGTTGGATGCACATTCATTAATTCAAATCCATCTTAGACAGAATTATTTAATTCATTCTTGGTGCTTTAATCCATCAATTATGAGTGATTGAACTTGAAGATGAAAGAACTTTGAGGATGTGATCCAATGTGATTTTTCTTTCCCTCTCTCTCTTTCCTTTTATTTTTGGTTGATGAAAATATTCAATATCATTAGAACTTTTGTTAAGTTCTTGATGAAGACACTAGTGAAAATAAGACATTTGGTTAAATGATTTTATATTGGGTCTGGATTTACACCGATGTGAAAAATATATGGTGGCAGTTTAGTAAATAAAATATAATTGTTATAGTGGATTTTACATCGGGCCTAGATTTGAACCGATTTGAACAAAATTCAGTGGCAATTTGATAAATAAAATACAATTTTGTTATAAAGGATTTTACATCAGACCTATATTTATACCGATGTAAAAAAATATGGTGACAGTTTAATAAATAAAATTAAATTAATGAAGTTTTATTATAAAAGATTTTAAATCGGGCAAAGGTTTGCACCAGTGTGAGATGTGGGCCATTACATTGGACCTGCATATGACCGATGTAAAAAGTCAATTAAAAAATAAAACCCTAATTTTCCTTACAAACCTATCTATTCTTTTTGTTTCCGCCTCCAACAGAAACCGATCTCTCTCGCGAACCTCTCACGATTGTCTCTCTCACGAACCTCTCGTATCCGTCCCACTCCTTATAGATTGTGAGACTAGTTATGACTGACAGTTTGATTCACATGGCAGAGGTTACTCTCATCCAAACCTTTAGTCCTAACGCCAGTGTCGTTTTTTCCGCCACCGATGAGCTCGATCGCCTATCTCCCACTCCTCACTTGCATTTCCATCTCCACTCAATTTCTACTGTTAATCCCCAATTCTCACTTTCCAATCGATGCTATTCTCAACAGGAGGAGAAAATCAAGGTCAGAAAATTGTTGTTGTAACTTATCTGACAAACCACACTCGTCTGAACGTTGATAGCAGCAGCGCCACACCTTCCAATGTCACCAAGGAGTTCAAGGACCAGCTGATGCAAGCTTTGCATCAAGTTGACTTTCTCGTTCTCAAGATCTTATTTGAAGTGGTCCGTTTTTGTTAAGTCATCGTTTCTAATTCTTTGTTTTGTCTCTGATCTATGATCTGATATTTCGTTTTCTAATATTTGTTTATATAATTGAGATCTTTTGATGTGGCAATTTCGAGTTGTTGCTTCTGCATATTTTGTTAAACAGTCTCTGCCCGGATCTTGTGCTTAATCTGTAGTCAGCTATTCAGTATAGTCGTCTTATTAACAGTTCAAACTCCACGTGGAATACGATCAATGCACTTATTGTTCTTCATGCGCTTCTTAGACCCTTTCAGTTACTCTACTAAATCACAGTTGATTGTTTTTAATAACTTATAATTTTTTGTTGTTCAATGCAATTTGTCATGATGTGTTTTTTATATGAAATGAATGCTTTTTGCATACAATTAAACAATTTGTGTAATATGTTTCTATACTGATGACATGTATAGATGGATGGCTACTATCTGAACTCCCTCTACATTGTTGTATCTCCCTTTTTTGATGGAAATTTAATGTTGTTGAATTATTAGTAGAGATGATTCTGGGTCACTTTACCATCTTTGCTTTTATC